CCAGCCTCCTATGACCTCACCTGGGTCCAGTACCACTCTTTGGATGTGATTGGGTTCCTGCTGGCTTGTGTGGCAAGTGCTACATTTGTCATCACAAGATGTTGTCTGTTGTGTTACCAGAAGTTTGCTAAACCTGGAAAGAAGAAAAGGAAGTAGTTGTTTCAAGGCCTGAAGCTGACACGCCTGAAGCTGATATGCCTCCTTTGGTTCATTCATCACAATGAAGTTGTAACATAAGGGTCTCTTCTTCCTGTGACAAAATGACTTTTCACAATTTGGCTTCTCAAATCAAAATCTGTTTTCAATTGATTTACTCTCTGTTTAAGAGTTAAAAATATTCATGCCAAAGAGAAAAAAACTGGGACTATTGAATTTTCTTATAGCGTGTGTACATATATATACCCACTCCTGCCAAACAAGGCACAGCATCACTTAGCTATTTACAGACACATTTATGCCCAAGGAGAACTTGTTCACTCATAACTGGCACATGAATTTAAAAAAAAAACACATTATCCATAGTGGCCAAAATGGGGGGCAGGGATGTCTATCAACTAATGCATGAATAAAAAGAATGTGATATGTCTGTATTATAAAATATTGTCTGGCAGTGAAAAGGATGCATGCTGTAATATGAATGAATCTTTAAAGTATTATACTAAGTAAAAGAAGCCCATCACAAAAGGCCACATATTACATTGTTCTGTTTACAAGAAATCCTCTACTTCTATAGAGACACAAACCTGATTAATGGTCAGATAGGGTTTAGGGAGGAAGACGTTAGGAAATTCCTTGTAAAGGATAAAGGTTTCACTGGGGCAGAAAATGCTCTTCATATGATCACCATGGTGGTAGCACAATTCTGTGAATACAGTATGAACTATTGAAATATACATTTTAAATTAATCAATTGAATGATGGGTAAATTACATGTTCACAAAGTTTTATTTAAGAATTAAAAGCTAAGAGAGGAAAATGGCAGCCAAATAGCAACGTGTCCTGCACCTTACCCCAGGGCCAGACTGGAAATACAACTAAATTGGAGAACATTCACCTGGAATTACCAGCTGAGGTCCAGCTAAGGAAGAGACTTATATCAAAGAAGGACAGAAAGCACCTGGAAACCTGTAGGAAGGGCCAGGTCAGGAGAGGAGCTGACCCAGCTCCCAGGGGCAGCAGGCCCAGAGAGGAGGGAGTGCTGGGCCACAGGAGGGTCTGTTCCCTCTGAAGACAGAGGCCCAGAACCCAGGCTCGACACCGGAGCCGAGACCTGCGGCCCACGTAACATACATCTGTGAAAGGTGGCAGACCTACTGGCCAGGAGTCTGGCAGACTGGAGCCGGTTGGAGAGAAAGCCGCAATTTGTTTTTTGCTAAACTCAGAGCATATGAGTTTTCATTTGCAACTACTCACCTGAGGCTTTGGTGCAGGGAGGGAGGCACAGACTGAGGTGCCTACAGAGGGGCTGGCGTGGGAAGCAGTGCAGGGAGACATGGGAAAGCAGTAGTCAGGAATCCTATACTTGGTCGTACAGATGCATCCAAACCGAAATGGCCATTTTTCCAGAGAGGAGCTACCTGTTTCCAGCAGCCACAGGGCAACAAACGACAAGTTCTATTGAGGATGTGGAGAAAAGTGGACCCCAGTACACCGCTGGTGGAATGTAGGCTGGTGCAGCCATTATGGAAAACAGTATGGATTTTCCTCAAAAAAAATAATGGAACTGCCATTTTACCCAGGATTCCATTTCGAGGAATATATCCTAAGAAACCGGAAACACCAATCAGAAAGAATATATGCACCCTTATGTTCACAGCAGCACAATTTACAATACCTAAGATCTGGAAACAACCTAAGTGAACATCAGCAGATGAGTGGATGTGACACATTTGTACAATTGAATACTATGCAGCAGTAAAAAAAAAAAAAAAAAGAATCTCTAACCCTTTGAGACAGCATGGAGGGACCTGGAGAGTATCATGCAAAGTAAAATAAGTCAGTCAGAGAAAGACAAGTATCACATGATCTCACTCATACGTGGAATCTAAGTAACAAAATAAACTAATCAATGCAGTGAATCCAGAGACATGGAAACATGGAACAGAGAGTGGAATCTCAAAGGGAAGGAGGGGTGTGGGGAATGTAAGTGGGTGAGAGGTAATCAACCACGGACCTTATATGCATATATGAATGGGCCATGGACCTAGACAATGGGGTGGTGAGGGCCTGGGGTGAAATTGGGGGACAGGCTAGTGGGTGTTAACAGGGCAGGGGGAAGGGGACATATGTAATACTTTCAACAATAACAAATTATTTAAAAATATATATTAGCATGTTAAAAAATGGGCAAAGGACCTAAATAGACATGTCTCTAAAATGGACATACAGAAGGCCAAGAGATATATGAAAAAATGCTCAAAGTCACTAATCATCTGAGAGATGCAAATTAAAACAACAATTAGGTATCACCTCACACCTGTCAGAACGGCTATCATCAACAAATCAACAAATGACGTGTTGGTGAGAATGTGGTGAAAAGGGAACCCTAGTACACTGCTGGTGGGAATGCAGACTGGTGCAGCCACTGTGAAAAACATTATGGAGATTCCCCCAAAAATTAAAAATGGAACTCCCATTTGACCCAGTGATCCCACTGCTATGAATATATCCTAAGAAACCATAAACACCAATCAGAAAGGATATATATACATATGCACCCCAATATTCATAGCAGCGCAATTTACAATAGTTAAGTTTTGGAAACAGCCCAAGTGCCCATTAGCTGATGAGTGGATAACAATAACTGTGGTACATTTACACAATGGAATACTAGACGGCAGTGAAAATGAAGGAACTCTTTCCATTTGCAACAGTATGGATGGACCTGGAGGGTATTATGCTAAGCAAAATAAACCAATCAGAAAAAGGTAATATCACATGACCTACTCATATGTAGAATTTAATGAACAAAATAAACTGACAAACAAAATAGATTCAGAGACAAAACCATGCACAGACTGACGAATTTTGAGGAAAGGTGGGGGTGGATAGTGTTTGTGTGTGTGGCTGGGGTGCGGGGTGGGTAGAGGTTAATCAGGGAATTTATATGCATACTAGAGGCTCGGTGCACTTGTGTCCTCTCACAGTCTGGGACCCCTCAGGAGATAACGCCCTGCTGGCTTAGGCCTGCTCCTAGGTGGCAGTGGGCAGGCCCAATTCCTAGGTGCAGCCCCTGGTTGGGCTCAAAGCAGGGCCGATTGGGGAATTGGGGCACTGCCCCCTGTCATGTACAGAGCAGGGCGGATCAGGAGGTTGCAATGCCACCCCCAGTCATACTCAGGGTAGGGCTGATTGGGGGGTTGGGGCACCGCCCCCTGTCACACTCTAGGCAGGGTCGATGGGGAGGTTGTGGCACCACACCGTCATGCACAGAGAAGGGCCGATCAGAGGCTTGGGGTGCTGCCCCCTGTCACACACAGAGCAGGGCCCATCAGGGGGGTTGGAGCTCTGTACCCTGTCACACACAGAGCAGGGCTGATCAGGGGGTGAGGAGCTCTACCCTGTCACCCACAGAGCAGGGCCGATCAGGGGGTTGGGGAGCTCTCCCCTATCAGGCACAAAGCAAGGCCGATCAGGGAGTTGGGGCACCTTCCCCTGTCACAAACAGAGCAGGGCCTATAGGGAGGTTGTGGCCCCATCCCCTGTCACACACAGAGCCGCAGGGTGATCAGGGGGTTTGGGCTCTGCCCCCTGTCATGCTGCTCCAGGGGCCAGGAAGCCTAGCGGCTCCACTGTTCCAAGTGCTGGGAGGCCTCCTGGCTCCGCTTGACACCAGGGCAGTGAGGCCTCACTGCTCCACTGATACCAGTGCTGGGAGGCATATTACCCTTTTACTATGTAGGACAGAGGCCTGGTGCATGGGTGGAGGCAGGCTGGTGTGCCCTGAAGGGTGTCCTGGATCAGGGTGGGGGTCCCCACTGGAGTGTCTGGCCAGCCTAGATGAGGAGATGATAGTCTGGGTGAGGGGCTGAGGGCCGTTTTCAGGCTGGCGGGTGACTGAAGCTCCCAACCCCTCCTTTTTTTCTTTTTTTTTTTTATTCTGGGATTTATTTACCTTCTATGCCTGTCTTTGGAACTGAGAGCAGGCTTTAGCTCTGAGGCTCGGCTCCAGCTCTGAGGCCCCGGCTGCTGAAAGCAGGGATCTGGGTTTGTTTGGGTTCTATAATCGAAACTCTGTTGCAATTCCAGCTCAGCCTGCTGGCTGAAAGCATGGGGTTTGTTTAGCGTCTATAATTGCTACATTCTTTCTTAGAGCGCAAGCTCAGAGCCCAGCAGTGGGAGGCAAGGAACCTTGGCTTCCTCCTTCACAGGAGCAGCAAGCCTCCTGTTCGCTTCAGCTGCCTGGCTGCCAGCCGCCATCTTGGTTAGCAGTTAATTTGCATATCACCAGGATTAGCCAATGGGAAGCATGTTGGAGGTACAGTTAATTACCATGTTTGTCTATTATTAGATAGGATATGCATAGCCCCTGTACACAGGCACTAGCATGGTAAAGACTTGGGAGGGCAAGTATAGGGAGAAGGTGGTCAATGGGGAAAAAATACACAAAGCAGATACCTATAATCCTTTCAGCAACAAAGATAAATTAAAAAAATAAATAAACATTAAAATAAAATCTCAGGAACTGTCATCCAGGTAATTCTTTGTCAACTGTATAATAGCTTTATCTTCCATTCTTCACAAAAAGTCATTACAGACACAATTACCTCTAACTTCCTATAATTATGACATTCATCTATAATAAATTACAAATCACAGGAAAACTGCCAAGTTGACTCAGCTGGATGACAGCATTTTTATATATTACACAGATTTGTATTTTAAAAAATGGCACTACTTTTTCATTTTCTGACTTGCCATAAAATGCTCTGACTGTTTATCAAATGTATTTACTTTGGGTGTAGAGTTATATTTTAACTTCCTGGTTGATTTCCCTATGCACATAAGCATGAGCCATGGTAAAAGGGATCAGCCATTTGAAAAGAATCATGTTCCCACCAGGATGCCTATGAAGTGGATTTCAGTTCTGCTGCTGCTACAGCTGAGTAGTCACTTCAGCCCTGGGAGTTGTGGAAAGGTGCTGGTGTGGCCCACAGAATACAGCCACTGGATCAACATGAAGACCATCCTGGATGCACTTGTCCAGAGAGGTCATGAAGTGACTGTTCTGACATCTTCAGCTTCAATTCTTGTTGACCCCAATAAACCATCTGCTATTCAATTTGAGATTTTTCCTACATCTGTAACAAAAGATGATTTTGAGGATCTTTTCAAGCGTCTGACCTCTAAGTGGACATATACACCAAAATATACATTTTGGACTTATTATTCACTATTGCAAGATAACACTTGCGAATATTTTGATTGCATTCAAAAGCTCTGTAAAGATGCTGTTTTGAACAAGAACCTCATGACAAAGCTACAGGAATCAAGGTTTGATGTCATTCTTGCAGATCCCGCCGGACCCTGTGGTGAGCTGCTGGCTGAGCTACTTAAAATACCTTTTGTGTACAGTCTCCGCTTCTCTTTTGGCTGTACAATTGAAAAGTACAGTGGAGGACTTCCATTCCCTCCATCCTACGTACCTATTGTCTCGTCAGAATTAAGTGATCAAATGACATTCATGGAGCGAGTAAAAAATATGATGTACGTGCTTTATTTTGACTTCTGGTTCCAACCATTTAGTGAGAAGTGGGATCAGCTTTACAGCAAAGCACTAGGTAAGTCATGTCCTTACTTGGTAGCAAGAACTCCTAATTTTCCTAGTACCCTAAAAGGTAGATTTATACAAATATTAATTGAGACAAATTTGTCTTTTACAAGTAAAATGATAAAATAACTTTATAAAATAATCTTTTATTCTCACAAATATTATGGAAATGCTTAACTTATAAAGTCATTAAGTAATTGCTTCCTCTTGTGTAGTTTAGTTTGATTTAAAAACTGAACTATTTTGCCATATTACCTGAAGGATTCTTTCACACTAGAGTGTTCTATCCCTGACTCAGGAAACTATAATTTCAGGTTTCTAATGACTTCACATTCCTTCACTAAGTCCTTACAATTCATCTGCTTAAACACTAAACTTTTGTTGATGGGTGGACATGTAAGTCAGTAAACTACATTTTGTGAAAACTCTCCCTTCATTAGAAACAAAATGATTCAAAATTAAGAGTGAGCACATCTATTACCATACATTATGAATATATTCCAGCTGTTATTTGTAAATGTCTTTATTAATGCACAAGTATTATTAGGCTCCTAAATTGAACCACATGTAATTATAGTACCAGGAAATGAGCCATACTCTCAAAACCTCCGTCTTTGGGAAATCACAGATAAAGGGAATAGCTTGCTAAATTGCAGAAACTAGACTAATAATCTAGGGAAAAGTGTTTCCATGGATATGGTATATTTAATTGATTGAGGTATTAAAATCTTTGTTTACATTTGCATCTATTACTTCTGCCACTTTACAGAGTAGCAAATGCATGTTTAATTCTGTAGTGGCTTAGGTTTAACCATTTTCTATGATTGTGAATGTCCTGATGTGATGTTAGAGAAGAAAAACTGTTAAATTTTATATGTATTGTTAATATAGATAAACATCATAATATAAAAAATGTACATTATATAAATCCTAGAGGCCCCGTGCACGAATTTGTGCATGTGTGGAGTCCCTCAGTGTGGCCAGAGATTGGGCCTGATATGGGCCATCTGGAAGGGGAGGGACCATGGAAGGTTGGCTGTGGGAGCAGACTGAGAACCGAGCCAGCTGAGGGGATGGACCATAATAGGTTGGCCGATCATGGCAGTTGGCTGTGGGAGAGCACTGACCACTAGGCGGCAGCTCCTGAGTTGAGCATCTGCCCAGTGGTTGTCATTGTGAATCATAGCGACCGGTCTACCATTTTTTTGGTCAACCAAAAGTCCAAATGGTCATTTAGGCTTTTATATCTGTAGATGTTTGCACTATCAAATCACAGACACTTTAAATATCTTTGGCTACATTATTCGAAGCTTTTCTTTTTTTTCTTTAAGAAACACATGGTATATTCACATTAGAATATTCTTATTTTCTCTCCTTTTTTTTTTCTTTTTCCTTTTCAGGAAGACCCACTACATTATTCGAGTTAATGAGAAAAGCAGATATATGGTTTATTCGAACCTATTGGGATTTTGAGTTTCCTCGCCCACTCTTACCACATTTTCAATTTGTTGGAGGCCTCCACTGCAAACCCGCTAAGCCTCTGCCTAAGGTAAAACTATTCATGCTTGTTCCACTTTGCATTTTCAGTAGGAATGATTATGTGTTCTTTATTCAGAAGGTCTGGTCACACTGAGAGAGATATGGGAATCTGGGTAAAGTGACCTGCCAATTAGAAACTCATACTATTTCAAGAATTTGAATGTCACTATCATTACAAAATAAAGTAGTATACTTCAGAGACTTTGGAACTAGGGTCAGTTAAATTAAGGCCTTCATTATTCAACACATAAAAAAAGTATCAGACATTAATTCAAAAACAACTTTTAAAGTGACTAGCACAGTGCAAGGGGGGCATATGAGAGCAACAATGTAGACACAGGTTTTACTCCCCACACCAGATATTTTACTTGGAAAGAGATCATATAAGCAAGTAATAAAAATGGTGTGAAAAGTGTTATAATAAAGAAAAAGCATAATGCTACAATAATGCTAGAGAGCATCCCATGGGAGTGGATCATAATACCTCAGGATTGACAATAGCAATCTGGTGTAAGTGAGCATGAGATATCTCTTGTTATATTCTTCTTGCAACAACAAAATTTGTTATCTATCCACGAACAAAAGTGCCAATGCAAAAAGACCTGGAAAGAGTCTTGCCCACCTACGCATCAGGTAATAGGCAGAAAGACTCCAGTACTGGCTGTGACACCTACAGGATATTGTGAATAGTTTCAGCCCCTCTAGCTGCATTCCAGGAGCACCTACAGCCCTGACTTGGGCAGTCACCTATGGAGTAGAGAACTTTTGTGGAAGTCCAGATTTCCAAAGGAGAAGTTCCAGCACTCTGTTTTCCTCTTCCAAGGCAACTCAGTGTAAGGCTGAAAGAAGGCCCACCTGTGCCCGTGATTTCTCTCACAGGGATAAAGAACCGGTGAGTGGGTGCTGAGCTTCCCCTGGTTTGCAGGATGCTTCCAAAGAGCTCATTTCTCTCTCACAGCATCCAGAGTGTTGAATTAGGAGCTCAGTGTCTGGCGAGAAGGAGCAGATCTGGCAAAGAAGATTAGTAGAGTGTTGGGGGCCAGATGTAAGCTGGCAAGGTCCTTGCACCTGTAGGGGCTAGCAAGGCTGGGACCCTTACCCACACAGTTTTCCCAGACTTGTTTGGATGGCGATTGTCAGTAGAATGGGAGTAACATTTGTAGAATGAGAACAGCCTTTCATAGCTTGCCCAGAAGTCTGTAACTATTTACTGAGATATGCTGTACTGAGACCTTGTCCTTCTGCTGTATCTCTCTCTCTTCTCAATGCCCCCCTCCCTGCCTGAGCCCGGCTCAACCCTGTCAGGCTGGCCCTGACAGTAGAGTGCATGTTAAAGAGACAGGGTTCCTCCTGACTGCATTCTCTACTCTATCAGGAAGCCTGACCACAAACCATGAAGAAAACCTTTCTTACAGATCCCCACATACTGGTATGTAGGCAACAACAGTGACCCGCTTTCCGACCCATATCTCCTCCCCTCTGTGGCCAGCTCCATGTAGAAGCTGCCAAGGGCAGCAGAAAGAACAAAATTTGATAAAAGGCTAGGGAGCAAGAGCAGAATACAGGCAAGGGTTTGCAGACAGGAGAGAACCACAAACTTGAGCTGTAGCACCACCTTCAGGAAAAGAAAAAGGAGGTGATCAGCATCTGGCCTGGTGCTTTATATGGAGGGAGGACAAACAGGACAAACAGAATTCTCCCACAAGAGGGAGCATGAAGCACAGAGCAGGCCTAGTCATCCAAGAACTGAAAAAGCCTTACCTATAGCAGTACTGAGGAAAGGTATTTCTACCCTGAAAGTAGTAAACATAAGTGGGTAACTGCTAA